TTATTTGAAAGAACAATTTATTAAATATAGTTTACATCAAGATGAAAATCATCGTTAAAATATTCTTGAAAATAAATAATGATATCTAATAATTGTTAATTAGAACGATCATCATTAGTAACAATTTCATTAAATTACATACCTATTTAACTCCAATTTTTAAATCCAAATATGGGCAAACTATGAAGCAGTGAAAAATCGTTCCGGTTTGAAGAGAAGCGCAAAAAATGCTTGGGAAGTGATAAGTGGATACAATCAATAGTACACGACTTCGTTGATATGTCTACTTAACCTCAATCTTATTATTGTACGTCCACCCTATACAACATTCAACAATCTCGATGGGAGACACTCGTATTTATACAGAAAAAGAAAATCACAGACTTTTATAACACATGCCAGACATGATAATAGAATTTATAATACAAAAATCTATTAGTAGTTAAAATATTGTTATTATTATCATTATTATTGTTTGAAAGTATGTCTTGTAGCTTCTGAAACTACAACTACAAGGATCGCCTCGCGATGGTTGCACGTTGCTTTCTCATCATCATCATTATTATTATTATCATTATTATTAGCATTATTATTATTATTATTATCATTATTATTATAAATAGAATAGAGTTGTGTAAAGAATAAGTGTATAAAAAAAAATACTAAGAAGAAATTCGGAAATTTTATCATAAAATATTCTAAAATATTAAACCATTGCAAGTTTCTGCATACAAAGAATATATCGTTTAGCGATACAAATAATCCATTTAAATAAATAAATAAGAACAATGTGGCTAGTAATCACTTGTGCTGATCTCTAGTCTGGTAAAGTATAAAATACCGATATATACTTACAATATGCTATAAAAGTCTGTGAAGAAATCTTCATTCTTACATTCTTTCATAACCTTGTGTCAAGGATAATTTTTTAAACGCCTGATTTCCTCGTTTCAATTTAATGATTCCATGATAAATTATATTATTGATTATCGATAAATCTTCGATTGATTTGACATATTAAAATTTTAATAAATTTCCAAGTTTTCAAAGCCATCAAAGTCCTTAAAATTAAAAAAATTTCAAATAGATGCTAAAATCAGATATTCTAGATTTTAAAAATTAAGAGTATGTATGTATTTAGATCTATTTTTAGATTCGATTCCAGAGATTTGGATTTCTATGGATTCTAGAAAAAATTATGATTCTAGATTCTTTGATAAATTATTAGAATTTTCAATAATTTTTTTATACTAATTTCATTCTTAAAATAAAATTCCTGAGTCCTTGAAAATTCGCAACTTTTTAATATTCTCTTCCTTCCATATTACATGGATTTTTAAACATTTATATTCTGAGCAATGATATGAATTATTATTTAGATATGTTATTGTTTTTAAGAAACAAAAAAATCAGGCTGTACACATCGATGCTTTTCGCTACCTTAAATTTACTCGCATTAAAGAATACGAATCGTACAAAACAGCTAGAATAGCCGCCCATTGAATTATCAAGGGACCTTCTATTTCACGCGTTTTCCTTTTAAAGTTCTGCTTAAATTATAAACAATACCATAATAGTTTAAAATACGATAATTGTGGCGATTCATATTCTATTTTCTTGTTCAACAACTATTCTTAGATAAATATATTAAAAATATATGAATTACACTTAAAATATTTAGTGTCAGATCAAAAAATAATACTATAAAATCAGAATATTTGAAAAAACTTTGTGGAATATTTTTGAGGCGGGTAATAAATCGTTCTTCTATTATAGTTTAACACACTCGATTCCCTCGATTTTGCACAACTTATATTCTTTTCTATTTCTTACAAAAAGCAATCATCTATTTTAAACAGATTACATTTTTCAAATATTATACTTTTGTGTCTGCTCTATCGTAAAGTGAAACTATACAAAAATGCAATATATGATTTAAATTTCGTAAATCTTGACACTACTAAATTCTTAAAAATTCCAAAATATTGGATTTCTTTAACATCGTTCACTAATGCGAAGATGGAGAATTCTAAATATAAGTCAATCTCGAGTCTCGCCACACCACGAAACCGCCCGCGCCACCAAGAGGATATTTCCATTTTGTCTGGCTGAGATCGATGGCGATCGCCTCACCATTCTCGAGTACAATTCCAAGAAAGTATTTTGGCCAAGAAACGCGCAGGATATTCCAACTTCTGTGAACTCACTCGAGGCGCTTTGACTGTAGGCAGGAGGGGGAGTGACATAAATATCGTCTTACCGAAACGAAACACGTTATCTCGCGGAAAGTTCTCGCTGGAAGATCAAGGGAGTAAACTCTTTAAGTCCTTTCCAGGTGTTCCCAACTCCGTGGACTTTAGTACGATCGTACGATGCACGTGAATTTTTCGGAAAAACGAGAACAAAGCTGACCAGAGAAATCCCTGCACAAATTTAAGTATGCAAAATGTAATATTCTCCTTCGTTATATGGAGTATCTGGTCGGTCGATTGAGAAAAGCTCGTTTTTACACAAAGCCCAATCACAAATTTTTCAAGTATAATTTACGAAAATCCGACTAATTAAATGTGCTAATCATAATTCAATACCAGCTTCTGTTTCGTTATTTCTGCTTTGTAATATACACATCTACATTTTGACAAAACTTGTTCAGAATAATAAACAAATTTTTATTATTATTCTTGCCTGCTTTATTTACTATTTATAACTTAAGTGAATTTAAAGGAATGCAAGCTTCGAGGGAAGTGGAAGGTCGAACACCAATGAGCGGCTCATTGTTTGTTAATAATGACTATGTTTCCACCGTGCACAATGCCAAAGTCCCATTTTTCATATTATATTGACAGAAATGTGGCGTTAAATGTCACACGGATACTATTTAATTTTCAACATTACAATATCCTACAATAAATTCTATCATAAATGTGGTGTTCAACATTCTGCCGTAATACAATACCACATAATCTTAATTATAATTATACGATGTGTAAGTATCTATGTTTACGTCAAATGTATGACATCTGAATGAGAATTAGATTTTGGAACTCTCTAGTTAGCCATGTATAACACTGAATGTACGGTGAAAACGTAGTCTTTATTAAAATTAACTCCTACTATTTCGTAACGAGTACGTTATACGCTTCGTCTAAGCGTCTCAATCGTGCATATGATCAGGACTATCACAATGTTTAAACGACGAAAAAATAGAAACTCTTAAGTTCTATCTAAAATGTTTTGTAAAACGTTTTATTTTGTAAAATGGTAGAGAAATAATGTAGATAAAAAGAAGATATAATAATAATTAGAATTAATTTAACCAAATAACAGGCAATTAAATATGAATATTAAATAGAGAATGTCATACTAAATAGAGAATATCAATGTATCTAAAGTTCATTAAGTTATAAAATACCTCGTCGGTACATCATTACACATCGTTTATGAATAATATATTAATAAAAAAAAATTAATACATATAAGATATAAATTAATATAATTAAAAATATTTAAAACTATCTATTAAAATATCATAATTTAATTAAAAGAGGATTTAATTAACTTAATTAAATTAAAAATGTTTACGCAATAATATTATATTAGAAAATTAATCCATACATTATATCTCTTGTTATAAATATTTGTTTTGTAAATGTTATTAAACAAAAAAATATTAAATACAAGTCTACATTAAAAAATTAATTAAAAGAAATATTTTCTCTCGCGTGTAGTAGATAGAAATACTTTGCATCAAGATATAATTTCATACCATTATTTCTCAAAACTCAAACTATACAAATTGTATTTAAAAATAGGAATGTATTATGTTAACGAACGTCATTTAAACAATCGCGCTTATCTGATTTCTATGCTCGTTACAACCATCGCAATGAGATATTCGACACTGAATTAATGAATATTTATTGATAATCTGTCGAATCAGTTCTTTGCGATTAGTCTTACTTAGAGTTAGGTAAGTAGTTAATTAAATTAGTTACTTAGGCGCGTTGATTAGCGGCATCGGTGTTTTTCTTCACCTTTCCGCTTCTCCGTCCTTGTCACGTATCGTACTTTCTTCGATATATCGTTTGGTGGATGGCTTCGTATCGATTATCGTCGAAAATAAAAAAGAGAAAAATGAGTGTTACCCAGTTTTTAACGACCATTTCGAGTCGATTTATCGTAATCGAGCTTCTCGATGAACATCTTTAAACATGGACTGTCTAAAATTATAAATGTACAGTCTTCTTTTCACCTTGTTTACACATCTCTTTGACGAAATACTGGAATCCTTGGACCGAGTCCGAGAATTCTACGATGTGTATAATTTGCACATCTTTGCATTTGTATTAAAAAAGCTAGGCCGTTTATAAAATTTTTTTAATCGTATATATTAAATTTGGATTTCAACATTAAAAATATTTAGTCTCGACATATTAAAACAATAATATTTAGTATTGCACACACAAATAATACAAAAAATCGATTAAGAATCCAAAAATTTACAAACTATTGAAATTTTAAAACTGTCTTAAAAATCATTGATTTTAAAGTTTCAGATTTAAAAAAATAAAATTATCATTTTATCGAAATTTTGTTGATTTCAATAATTTTCCAATCGGAGAATCCTCGGATCATTATCTTTTCCAAATCATTATTCTATTCTCACTCATTCCTAAACTGTTACACTATTACTGTTTCACTTCGAATCTCTCTTTTCTTCACATTTCAAAGCTTCGCAACTAGAATAGGATGCTGCACGCAATGCGGAACCTTTGACAAAGATTATAGTCCTCACGTTTCTAATAATTCCATTAGGATGTTTTTGACTCATCAAGTCTCGGTTCTGTTATTTGTTACTTCGAATTCTCGAAGAAAAAAATTAATTTTCTCTTTTTCACTGTAATTAATTATTTTTGAGTTCAATGAAGAAAGACGTTGGTAACAGACCTCGTAGTGTGAGGGGGCAAATCGGGGGCCTCTGTGAGGGCCCCCTCGTGCCCCTATGCACTCAGACCAAGCCGATGAATCTTCGCCGAAAGGAAGTTGTGCAGGACGAACACAATTGGTTTTGGACAACTCTCCAAATCTAGCTCCTACAATAATAATTAACCGATACTGCTTACTTACTAATGAAAACTGACGGTATATTTAAGTTTCTTACCGTTTAAGAAAATATCTGATTTTTAATCAATTTTAAATGTGTATGAATTTAGAAAGAATTTTCAGGAATTAAGAACAACTAGCCATTTTTCATAATTAATAAAAAACGATGATGCACGTACGAATTCTAGTCTAGAATAACTACATTGAATGATGTAAGTTGAAATGAAGAAATTTACGACTATAGCAAACTTTCCCTCGTTCCATAAACTTGTTCTTAAATTTACGACGCTTGAATCTATTTCCCGGGATATTAAATTTTCCAGTCTTTTTGATTTTTAAAATCCATATGTCTATCAAATACTCACAATTTCGCCATCCTCGCCTCCAAAATCGAGCCACAAAAGACGGGCGCCGTCGTCCGCGGACATTTTCAATTTGTCGAAGGATCTTCTCCAGAGTGGCGTGGGTGGTGATCCAGGACTTACGCCGTTCCCGGCAGTGCCCCGCGTTCCTGCGGAGTAAAGCGCGAAACCTTCTTCATGGTTGACAACCAACTGACAGGCCTTACCTTGCCATATGCAACCTACAACATATGAAATATCACAAAATTAAAATAACAGTAAAGAGAAAAATATAAATCTATTCACAACTTATTATTTTATATTATCATTACATTTATATTAATATAACATAATGTATATATACAGATATTGTTAGATATAAATTTTTTTGTATAAATCAATTTTTTGTAAAACAAAATAAATAAAAAGGGGCAAAGAGCCGATAATATAACAAAACCAAAACTTTAATTCAAATAATATGTAACTACAATGTTCAACACGGACGTTTCGACTCCGATTGGGTCATTCTCAATGTTACAAATATTTAATACAGATAAATTCATTATACAAAATTCGTTATCCTATAAAAATTAATCCGTTTGTGCTCTTGATGCTTTGAGTCAATAAGGAGAAAATTCAAAAATCAGATTGTATAAAACTTGGTATTCTAAAAAAAATCGTGAACAAATTCAAAAGTCAAATTGCATAACTTATTATTTTAAAAAATAAACGTGAGAAAAAGAAATAAATAAAATTAACATATATATAAACTGGTAGTATACCTTGTCATTTATATCTGTAGATAATTTGTATCATTTTTGTATATCTTGTTTGTTCTTTTTGCCGTTTTAGAATTTGGTCAAATAATTATAAAACGTAGTGATATAAATATCATAATTTTATAAGCCTAGTTAAATAAAAATCAACAAAAGTCATATTTTTTTGTTTACTTTTATTAATCATAATTGTATAATTAAATTAATTTCCAAGTAAATTATTTGTAAAATACTATTTTTTATGAAACAGCCTGTATATATTTTTCCATTGCGCGTTTCTGCCGCATCGAGGGGAGGGGAGAGGAGGTATCTACGGTTCTTTATCATCGATGAGTTCGACGAGAGACGCGAACAAAAAGACGCGTATGAAATGGGCGAGGCATTCATCTCGATTTATTATTGCCGTTCGTCGTCGCTGAAAAGAAATTAAAATTCATCGAACCGAACGCGGAAAATGACGAGAGTGTAGATGTCGACTATCATCCGCTGCTATGTATACATAGAAAGAACTCGGGTTCACAATTTTCTCAAATATTTCATGCTACACACATCTCTACCTCATCTACATAACTTTTAATATCCATTTATCAATCTTATTTTATCACAAATTTCTAGTTTTTTTTTTTTAATAAATTATTATAGACATTATTTTAAATATCTAATGAAAGTCCAAAAACAAAATCCAATCATTTTTTAAATTAATACGTGCAGATTACTCACGAACGGTATATTCTCGCAAGGAATGAGCAGCCGTGTGGCATCCTTGAACAATCGCTCGCGCCCAAGCCGCCAGATCTCTTCGTGTTTCAGCTCGTAAATGATGCGTGACTACCCCGTCCATCGTGCCAACCCGGACCGCGAACGTCGCCCCGTGTTGAGTCGAACCGCTACTGCTGCTTGCTGCTTCATTCTGTCGCGTTGGAGAGGAGACCAGTCTGAAATCATTTCATTTGAGTTCCGTGTAAGTTCCGAGATTCTTATGAAAGTCTTTAACCCGGTTATATTAGTCACCTCCTTAGCGGCAAAAAAATGTCAATTGTTCTAAAATAAATATTGTTTTTTTCTTTTTCTATAATTATGTTTTACGAACCTTTGAATAATGCAATTTCATCGAAAATTCACGATAAAAAACGTTATCTTAATTAAAATCTTTATTTTTTAAAATACTTTTACAAATCCTATTTTTTAGATATCATATAATAATAAAGTACTTAACATATTTATTCCGTTTATTTATTTGTTTGGTTTTTATTTTTATTTTTGTTTCAGGAAATTGTAAGTGAATCCATAATCTCAAATGTCAATAATCGGTAAACATCTGAACAATATATTGTTTAACAATAATGATTTTAATCGGGGTGTAAAAATACCCCGAATAATCGTTTACATTAAAGAATGAGGTGACTACCCCAGGATTAAAAACGTACATTTAAAGACGTATCAAACTTTAAAACTGAATGTTATGGATTCTAAGTTCTCACTGTACGTGTACATTTACGTTAGATGCGGTTCTTACATTAAATCGATATACCGGAGACTTTTAGAATGAAGATTAAAGATTCCGCAGAGGTACGAAATCACGTGACATCGCTCTTGGGGTGTCGGATAAAAAGCGTCGACCTTTATCGAAACGATCGAAGCGCCTTGTAGCGAGTCATGGTATGGATTCATTCCCGTCGTCCCTTCATCCCTCTCCCAACGGGTAGGTAAATTACCTCGTCATCCGGCTCGCCTCGCTCGTAAAATCGTCGCGGCTTTATTGCATGTGGGACGAAGCTGCAGTGTTCACCTGACACGGGTTCGGCCACGTATGCACCCCTTCCTCAACCCTCCTCGAATCCATTCCCTCCCACCAATCTGCCCGCTGACGAATGGTCCTGACGTTCGCGAGCCCGCGCGCTAGATTTATAGATTTTTCCGAGGGACACTGGCGAGGCAAAAAAAAAAAGAAAAACAAGGAGTGATAGAAAGAACACCCTACGCAATAGAGGACAGAACGGATGCAAAAAAAATAGCACACTTGGACTAGAAAAAATGCCCGCCCTCGGCATTATTCAACATGCCTAACGGTCATTTCGGGCCTTTTTCGCTCCGAAGCTAATGGTTGCCTACAGCATATCGAGATGTAGTTGAACTTTCACAAAAAACATCTAAGTTGCTAAAATTACATCGTTCAAAACAATTAAAGGATATCGAAGAAAATAGATGAAATCAGCAAAACCTTGTTTTTAAGGGCGGAAGCATTGCATAATGCATAAAAAATGGACCAATCAAATATTTAATTTTTTCCTTTCCATGAAATAAAAGACTGGTTGAGTCTTATATGTTATACAAATATTAGGTCTACAATTTAATTTTCGGCTCCTGTATTCAATCAACTACAGCATTTATACAAATTTGAATCTTTTTCTCACCATACAGTCGTTTTGAAGCGTTACCTTAAGCCTCAAAATAAGGTATAATAGATGTCGGTGCTACGATCTAATCTCAAAAAATGGTAGTGAAAACTATATGTTGTTCGAAAAGCAGCATTTCAGGCATTACCTCCTTTTGGCGTTCCAAATAAATGAAGAAATATGCTGCGAAAGCTCAAAAAATGATTTGCTCGGCTTTAAACGAAAACTCTATCGTACAGTACATATAAAAAGTAGTTCCAAAGATTTCGTGATGGCAATTTCAATTTTTTTCATCATAAAATTAATTTATCGATTCGAAACAATCATCTTTTTTTCCGAAGCGGAATTTGATAGTTGCCTGAAAGATAGCGAAAATGTATGGAAAGTAAAGGGAATTATTTTGATTAGGTTAATATTCCATTTTTTTTTATAATTTTACATCGAAACTTTGTAAGACCGAGAATTAAGTTGTAGATTTACTGCTCTGGCTTTAAGCTTAAAATATTATTTAGAGAATAAAAATGAATAAATTGTACGAACACAGGATAAGCGCGAAAAACAAAAAGTATTATTGCAGTATAATAAAGTAGTAGGAACTCATCATTTCTCGCACCCGTGCCAATATAATACGTGACAATTGAACACACACCTCTTAAGGGGGTATATACGTTTGTCGGTTTCAAAAAATCGATTATTTTAATGCATTTTTCGATAGTTTAAACATTCAAGAATATTGTCCTAAAACCATTTCTTGAAATTTCAATAAGTAAAAAAGTTACAACGCGTTTTGTTGGGCAGTGCACGGGCTTGTCCTTTCTGAAGCGGCGCGCCGATCGGACCCTTATATGCGGGAACCCCGTATAAGTCGCCGCTTCGTTAAAAATCATCAAATTGAGGCAAATATTAAGCAGGAAGTTTCCCTGTATGGCCCAGGAATTGACGATGACGTGAAGTTAAATAAATTCAATTTTATAATAGAGTAAAATTGTTCAAAAACTTTAAACGCGTTTTTTTTTCAAAACCATGTTTTTAAAGTCGGTTACAATGATAATTTAAAAACGGATCAACCGATTTACCTTTTTTTTTAACTGAAAGCTTATAAAATTCGTTTATCATTGTATCCGATTTTTAAAATTCTAATTCTTTTTATTTTTTTAAAACAAAAAAATAACATTTTTTGTCAAAAATCGGCACCCTAACTTTAAAGATCCGCCATTTTGTTTAAAATTCGAATTTTAAAAATCGAATACGTCAACAACAAGGAAATTTACTTTTCTTTAAGATGCCGTTTGACTTTTGTATTTCAGATAAACGGGCAAGGAGAAATTATTATAACCGTGGAATCATGCGTGGCGTGCACGGCTGACTACACGACAGTGAAGTGGGGGAATTTTCCAACAAAATTACTCTAATAAAATTTGTATGAGAATTACAAAAAGTGTACTTTATTATGCAAAAAGTTCCATTTTTATAATTTGTCTCTTAGTTCTAAAAAAAATTCATGAAAAATGCTTTTTTTTAGGCTCGAAACGTATATGTCCCCTTGAATGTTTGCAATTCCTTCATTCTGTCCTAAATATTAGATACTTTTAAATCAAGTGATATTTAAGAAAACAATCTTTAAAATATTTAATTATTTTTAGGTGTATATATACATGTATCTACATTAACATTCTTTCTCTATTTCTTTCTATTTTATCTTTAAATTTTAAATCTATTCTTCAATCTATTGGAAATAACGTACCTCTTCGTACAGTATTTATAGTCTAAATACGCGTATATACTTTAACGTCACTAGATACTTGATTATGGTTGAGGTTCGAAATAATTTGAGTTCTCTCGGAGCAATGGATATTCATTGACCATTATCGCGAGCGCTTTCGGAGGACAGTGAAAAAATAAAGCAACAGCAAAAAGCGCGACTGGAGAAAATTCCGATAAGCGGGAGGAAGTTGGAGAGACAGCCGCAAACGGTAAATAAAAGCGTTAAACGAGAATGGATGTTCGTCGGCGGTCGTAATCCGACGAAAAAGCCCGCAGGAAGAAAAGAAAGTTTCCCTCGGGATAGCCGAATCACTTCCGGTTTGTCTCGCAGTAAAACTTCCTTAAGTCGGCCATTTCGCGTTCTCGCGTCGGGCCCGATACAGGCCCCGTCGACCGGAAATAGAACTTTCTGACATGTTCCGCTCCTTTCACGCGTCTTTCAGATTCTTCGTTTCTTTACTCATCGAATGGAAACTTGAAGAAAACGATGTCTGAATGTTTGGTGACGGAAGAAGAAAATGATTAATAGCCCGACAACATAAAACTCAAACAAAATTTCTTTTCCGCGCAATCGAATTTTCTGTTCTTTATAGATACTATAAAACCAACTTGATAATCGTTATTTATTTAAAAAATTCAATTAATTCTAACTTTAAGATTTATGACGTGTAACAATTAAAACAATTGAAGTTTTTAATAAATTTGATAATTATATTAAATAAAAAATTTATAAAAAGGACAGATAAAAGAGGCTATTAAACAAGAAGAAATTTTAGTAAATAGCTAAATATTGACGCAGTATTATAACGCTAGAAATAAATTTCTATCGTAAATAATTTAATAGTATTTATATTGCTTTATTATAATATATTGAGCAAACTTGCTACGCAGTTTATTGACGATATAAATAACACTGTCATATTAATCAAATATTTAAATTATAAATAATTTACAATAACTTATATTTTTCTTATATCATAAGTGGAAAATAATTTCTAATACTTTTTTTTATATTTTATCTTAATATAAATTATGCTAATTTCTCTGCCTTAGCAATAAGAAACAAAGTCTTCTTATTATACAATATATTTGTTCGAAAAAAATGATACCCAGAATGATCTATATATCTTGTGTATAACAGACATACGATAAAAACAGAGGCGCGGGTTCGTAAACTGCCACGAACGATCGATGCACATTCCCTCTAGTCTTTTTCACTTAAAATTTAAACGAGGCTTAGCTGGATCACCGATCATTCAAACAGCGTGACTGGCTGACACCACATTTAAGCCGCTCGAAAACGCCAGGCTCATCGTTAAAAATGAAGCTGACATTAATTCACAACAACGATGCGCGGGAAAGTTTAACGCGATATAAAATAATGCAACGAGACATTTTCAGCGTTACGCAATACATAACTTTCGCTCTGGATACTTTAATTTTCTGTATATTTACAAAGTGTTTTTTATGTAAACCATTTTCTATGTATTTAAAATCTTTCTACGTATTAAATAGTAATAGTTTTTACATACATATATGTGTATATTATAATAAATTTTACACCATTTTAAATCTGCATGCAGTAGAAGATTGATGTGTGTTGCATTTTGCATATCATTTCACAAATGTAGAGATACATTTTCTTTTGATTAGTTTTTGATATTTTGACTTCTCAATGTTTTTTTGATAACTACATGCATAAAATATACTATATATTTATAAAAAATTCATTAAAGAAATTAATTCAACAATATCATATTCTATATTTTGTTTGC